GGTCAGCTTTGGTTAAATGCAGCTGTTGTTTTTGTCGCAGTATTTTCCACTTATTTTGTCACATTATTCGTAATCCATTAATAATAATTATTAACATTAACATTAATATTGAGTATTTTTTCATCCAGATTTGTAATGGGTTAATCCGTTTAAAATAGTAAATATTATTATTATTATTAAAAGGATTCTTAACGTGCTTATAATAATAACGTTAATCAGTTAACAGTGACAAATAAATGCCGTTTATTATTATTATCTATTTCCCCCTGTAGTTTCTTTGTTCACTTTGGTTTTGTTACAGCATGCTCCAATAATAAATATATTGTTATTTAGATAACTATCACTAAAGCATGTTAACTTGATACTGAATTGAAAAGAATACAAGTATGAAATTTATTATAAGTTTTGGTAAAGATAAAAAAAAAAATTTATTTTGAAAAATTTCTTTATACACTTAATATGTATATTTATATATACAATCATTCATTTATTAATAATCAAACCATTTAGAATATGGTTTTTTTTGTATCTGGAAGTGTTTTTGGAATGAATATTTGAACTAAGAGAACATTTTATTGAAAAGTTTTCAATAAAGCAAATTTGCATTAACAAATATATTTTTTCTTCGCCTATTTGTAAAATTTTAGACAATGAAAAATGATCGGAATTTGTATATACGACTTTTGGTAGCTTTATAAAGGAAATATATTATCTTTATTTTGATATACTGGTAGTCCATAATTTGTATACACACTAAACTTTCTCTTCTTGTCTAATTTAAACAATGGCACTGATAAATATTTGGTTATGTTCATGAGCTGACTACTTTTTTTGAGGAGAAGAATTCGGCAAAACTATAGAGTACACGTTTGAAAACTCTGATGGCTTGAACAAGTTGAAATTTTATTACAACATGAATGCAGCGGATGCCGAAAAAGGAAAAGTTGGCTTAGCTTTAAGGGTTTTTTCGCCTAGTCAGTAAATTGCAATATAGATAGTATAATTATATTCGAACTGGCATACCTTTTTTTAGTAAGGTTATCTATATTCATATAGATAGTTGCTCTTTTTTACATGGTTTCTGACAATTTCTCGTGCAAGATTTTGATCATTATTATACTCCATTTTTTAATAAATCAACATACTAGTTCTTTTTTTTAAAAAATGGCAATTTATACTCTTTTTACACACTAGTTCAAATATAATTATCCGAAGAATGGATAAAATTGCTAATCTTTTAAATAGTCATGCTGGATTGGGTAAAGTTATTTGGTCACCAAAACTATTTTGTAGAGACAAAAGTCAAAACTAAAATTAAAAGTCATCAAAAGTCAAAAGTCAAGACCACTTTCGACTTATGACGAAACCTTTTGACTTTCACACAGTTCCAAAGCTCTATGGTTTTGGAAACAAACATCATTTTAAATCAAGTCCAAAACCAGTATATATAAAAGTATACTACCTCGGGATGTTCCTGCCATTATCGGATTTGAGCCCAACTATGTAACTACTCGGAGAATCGATTGTATAATCAATAATTTTCTCTATAATCAGAATCAACCATCTATACCAATGGTTATTTCTCATTGTTGCTGGGGATTTTGTACAGGAAGAAAAATTTGAAACGTGGTAACATTTTAAACGGGGAGTGTTATTAGAAACATCACTATGAATACAATTTATTTATCTTATTTATGAACCGTAATATAGCACAACTGATATTCCAAGTACCATTGCATCAGCTGGTGGTGCCTTTGATTAATATATTTAATTTGCATTGCTTAACAAGTTAGAAATTGACCCTATTTTTTTTTTTTTTTTGCAACCAATAGGTATCATGGGAGCCATTCTTGCGTGGTTATTTGGATCCAGCAGTTTAGATTCATGGGGTATTGCAAGAAGAATTGCAGTAATCCGTAATGGTATTTGGGTGATAATTTTAATGATTTTAGATGTAAGATGATAGGAAGACAATCAGAAAGGAAAACAATTATCTTAAATGTTTGACAGTTAAAGTTGCAATCACAAGAAATTCTTGGATACTTCGTTTTTCAATCATCAAGAAAAAGCACAAAAGAAAATTGAGGATTAGATTATCAAGAATAAAAACAAAAAACGAGCAATTATTAAAGAAATTTACTATTTCAACAGCTAATAAATAAAAGTATTTGGCTGAATTTTTTTATTTGATGAATCATCATCATAATTTATTGCTTATCCCATTCATAACTTCCACCTCCACCACCACCACCTCCACCTCCGCCACCACCACCTCCATACTCTGCAGGAGCAATAGGTGGTGATTGTGAAACAGCTACAACATCAGGAGGTGGTATTGCTGATTTTTGGAAATCCTCAGAAGTAGGCTGTGTGATGATTGGTTCATCTTTGGGTTCCTGTTTGTAGCATTCAATTTAAGAAATAAAGGAATAAATTATTTGTGGCAATTTAGATAAAAAATTAACAATAATAATAATATTATTATTTACCGAAACGGTAACAATATCAGGTAAATCAGTTTTTGGACCATTTTTTCCGGTCGGATCACTAGCCTAAAATTTTAATAACAATAATAACAACATTATTAACATTATTGATATTTATATGGTATTATTTATCATATAACTAAAATATATAAAATAACAAATCAAAAACCACACAAACACATACTTTCATAATTTTTACTTTAATGCCTAAAACACCTTGCCTTAACATAACATGACGAACTGCTGTATCAACATAATCACGTATTGGTTGACCGGAATGAATCATAAATCCATCAACAAATTTCATTGATTTGGCACGAGCAGCTCTTAATTTTCCTGATACAACTACTTCACAACCTTTAGCACCAGATTCCATGATAAAGCGAAGTACACCATAACAAGCCCTAATTTATTATAATGAATAAAATAAATAAATGAACATACAATTACTATTATTGTTATTTAATTGTTGTTAATATTCCTTTCAAAGTTTTTTTATACCTTCTAACAGCAAGTCCTGCCAATAATTTATATCGAAGAGATTCACATTGTGCAATGGCACAAAGACCACGATTTTGCACCTTTTCTGCATACAATTCAACAGTGTTTTCAGGAAATTTAAATCTTTTCTGAATCAAGGCTGTCAATTCACGAATTCTACGACCTTTCTCACCAAGTACATCTTGTGTATGAGTTGCACGAATAATTATTTCAGTTCTTGCGGGTGTTACTCTAACTTCAACACCAGAATATCCTTCTTCAGCTAATTCACGTGTAAAGAATTCATTAAGTTCTGCAAAAAAAACACCATCAGCTACGAACTGAATAAAAAATAACAATTTGATGAATAAAACAATTCTATAATTATTATTATTATATATTATATTCATCCATT